AAGAAGCAGAGAGAAGAGAAATGACAGTGTACTCACGGATAAAGTGTGCTCCCTTTTTCCTTCCCCTGACAACCCAGAAGAGCTGCATCTTCATTATCTAAATTGCATTCCCCTCCTTCCCCTGATAAGCAGCAGAAGTAACAGTGGCTTCTCTAGGGCATGGCAGCTGCCAGGCAAGATTTTGGTCAAGGCATAAAGGGCTAGAAAATGGCCCCCTGTGCCCCATCCAAAAAGAAACATATATATATATATATATATATATATATATATATATATATATACACATATGTAAGCCACACCTGTGCACTCATATATCAGTAATAGGTTGCTTTCTAATGATAGTTTCAGTTGACACATCTAGAATTGCTCAATTGGTGTGGTAAACATGTTATAATCAAACAATTAAAAGCTGGAAATTATTTTTATTAAAATACCTGCAAGTCAATGTCATATATTGTCCTTATGTCACTTATGTTTTAAAGGGGGGAAGTGAGGGCCTGGATAACTGTTAACAGTTGCTTCCTTATTTACCCATACTTTATGAATCACATTTTCTTTTTTCCTTTTGTAAAATCTAAATGATGTCCAAACAAGATCACACCAATCTGGGAAAATCTGTTGGAACAAGTAAATTTTCAAGAGGCAAAAAAAGCCTCTGTCAAGGATCTGTATTGTCTCATTTCTACCACGAGGGAGTCCCAGAAAGTGAGCGTGGTGACCCTAAGAGTCCTAGTCTTAACTGGCATGGGTCAAGCTGCTGGTATCTCAATCCCCACTCCAGAAGCAGACTGATCATGAATGCTAAAGCCACCAGCCAAGCACTCTCCACCACCTTAGTCAACTTAGGGGCTGAGCAGATTGGTCAGGAAAGAACAAGCCGAACCTGTGCTTTCCTGGCCCCAGTGCTCACCTGGTCAGTTGCTGGATCGGCACTGGCATGGGTGGGAGTTCATACATCTATCCCCTCACCAACCTGCATGTGTTCTTTACTGTGCCACACTATCACTTTCACTCAGAAGCCTCCTCATTGCTGCATCTGATGCAGAAATGGGGTGCCTGGCCATGTGGTGCATCCAAGCACCCCATTTCCGCATCAGACATGGTGACAGGGGACTTCTGATGGCTAGCAAGGTAAGGAATATCGAGGTGCTTGTCTGAACAGCCAGGCTTTCCTAGAAACTCTATGGAAAACCAGGGGTAAATTACCCCAGGGTAAATGTTGTTTACCCCAGGATCAGGTCGGATCCTCCAGATCCATGTCTGGCCAGGCAGGATCAGGCCTGATTCTGGCCCCAGCATTTTGCTCTGCCTCGTCTGAACTAGACGATGCAAGGGTGGAGGGAACCTGGTCCTTTTGGCCTGTATGGACAACCTCTTAGTTAGAGAGATTGATATGTGAAGGCAGCAGGGTGGGTGGGTGCATCCCTGACCTCTCATTATTGACCAGCACTAGTGAGGCAGAAGGGAGTGCTATGGGTCATATTGACACTACTCTCCCAGCCTGGGCTGCTGTTGCGCTGCACCAAAGCCCTCCCAAGACCATTCATTGGTGCTCAAGTGGTAGCTCATTCTCTTAGGCACTTTTTCAGTACAAGCTCCAAACAAACTATATAGAGGAAGACATACAGAGATAATTGCACAGATTAGTTGTTTCAGTTATTTGCTATAACTGCTGCAGCCTCTGACAGAGAACAGGAGCCAGGCACAGCTCCATTGCGCCTAGGTCTTAGTAGCTGGCAAGGTGCTACTATTGCTGTGGCCTTTGAGGGAGAGAAGATCAACCAGGAGCAGATCCATCATGCTTGGTCCCATTAGAGATGAACAGCCAACATCTGTTGGATTTAATCCCCTCCCCAACTGCCATCATCCTTCCTTTTGTGTCTTTTTAGGTTGTAGGCCTGAGGACGAGGAACTGTGAAATTAACAATTGTATACTACTTGTGTAAAGCACCATGTACACTGATGGCACTATATAGATGCACGGGGATGACAAGGACAAGAACAAGGAAGAGAGGATGAGGTAGTGGTAGTAGTAGTACTGTAGTAACAATATAAAGCAACAAATGTACCAGAGATTGTCTTCTTTCATTCCACTGGAATGGCAACTCATCTGAGTTTGTGGCTCTGGCATCATCTTTACTCACACAAGTAGACCAATTTTATCAACATGTCTATTTCATATTTCTGGGTGTTAATGTTTTTCTGGTTTCTTCATGTGCAAGTTGACCACCGGCATTTGCTAGAATATGAGAACAGGAGTAAAAAGTGTATTCAAGTTCCTCTAACCTGAAGTTAACAGTTTAGGCGAACCTGATTTAGCAGTTGTAAAATAATCTGTTTATCCAGTAAGTTTGAAATGCTAGTGTTAGCATGAGCTCCAAGGCTGCTTTCAACTGCTAAGTAACAGCTTCTAATGAGAATGACATGTCAGCAACCATCTTCAGGCAGCCCTCACAAGACTTGCATTAATTGCCTTTGAAATGTAGCTTTGCCACTCACCTGGAATTCTAATTTGTGGTTTGTACAACATTAGAAGAAAATGCAAGATTTCCACCTTGGAAAAGGTGACAACTGACTGTCTGTTTCTGGAGTCTATTTTGCCACTAAAATCATTCCTCGTTCTTTAGGAAGGCAATAATAACTTACCAGACCTTCTAATGACTAGTGCTGTTTATTCCAAAACAGTATGGCTTTTCCATTTATAATTTGAAAACCAGAGGGCACAGCTTTCCTCCACTACAAAGCTGCTTGACTCTGAGCCAGATTCACGGGACGAACATACAAGAAACTGTCTCAGAGAAAACCAAACTAGTGAAGGGATGGGGAAGGGGTTATATGACACTCTGCATGTTGGCCAGAGCCAACACTACCATCCCACTTTTTTGAAGGAAGATTTGGGTCCTCATAGTAATAATAATAATAATAATAATAATAAATTTTATTTTTATCCCGCCC